AACAAGCTGCTACAAACTACCAGCTGTTGTTAATCTTCCAACATCTATATGCTGACAAGATTCTAAATAAGGCCTTTGTGACTTTAATGTGTATGTGTGAGCAGCTCCCATTTATTCCTAAAGTAAGATGTTGTGGTGATATTCCTTCATTCTCACTAACATTCTTTTTGATAAAATAAATATAACATCAAAGAGGAATGGTGATGGTCATATAAACAGATTTTGTTTTGCATATTACATAATACATTTTTGCAAGTATGCATACAATTTCAGATACTTAAAAATGTGTACATTTTACATGCTGTGTTCTTTAACTTCTACTAAATAATGTATATGTAATAAGCATTGAATTAGAGAAATAATCAATTCTATTTTTGGCAGGTTATTTGTCGTATGGCTTAGTGGGTAGTAGTGAGTGATGGAGTTAGTGAGTGGTAATTGGGTTTGAATTCAGGGGAAAAAACTGCAGGTGGTTGCCTGCTGAGCTACACCACCAGAGTTCTCTTATTATTTTTAGTTTATTTTTTTCAGAATTTATTTTGCACGCGCGCTTTGTAATGCATTATAAAACCAATGGGACACATCAAACCTGGAGTGTCCCTTTAATTCTAAAACTAATAAGTACCCGTCATCGATGGCATTGGTACATTTTGTAAACCGCAAGGTCTGCATTGTATCCATTTAAAATGTAGATTTAGCCCATTTATAAATGGTATTATTGCTTACAGCACATAAATTGACTTAGAGCTTTTATTTCTTTTATTCAGGTATTTCCACACCAGTACACATCAATACATATGGCATGAAAACTCTTCCTCTTTTATGGAAACACTGGACTAAAGATGTTTTTCCCCATATGTTTCCAATTATAACTATGAAATTATACCCTCTCACTCAAGTTCCCACAATGAAAGGGACATGGATATTGTAAAAAAATAAAAATAATTGTAGTAGAATTAAACAATGCCAAACCCATGCTTGACAGGAAAACCACAAAAAAAACGGCGTCCAATAGGACAGGACTGACCAACTAAGCCACAAAGCTTAAAGCTTTAATCATATCCTAAGTCTGAACGGTTCTCCTAGCACAGTCAGCACTAGCCACAGTGCCAATGACCAGAGTCCAATCAGAGAGCTTCTGCAAACTTAGCCTCTGATGAAAATTGTACAGTGCATACTCTGGATTAGTAACATATCTTCCATTGTGGTAACATAAGGATGTCA